AGCAGCAGCAGGTTCTGAGGCAGTTCTCAGGGTACTCGTCCCCGCAAGCAGCAATCACCACCACTGCTACAGACACAACTGCTGCTGCTGCTGCTGCTGTTGCTGCTGCTGCTGCTGCTGCTGACTTGTCAGCAGCAGGAACGGAAGCTATACTACCGGTGGCAGCAGCAGCAGCAGCAAAGCCTAAGCCAGCAGCAGCAGCAGCAGGTAAAGCCGAACCAGCAGCAGCACCTACAGCAGCAACAACAACAGCAGCAGCAGCACCTGCAGCAGCAGCAACAGCAGCAGCAGCAGCAGCAGCAAGTTGCAGCTCAGATTTGACTGAGTTGGTTGTGAGGGAGCTGAGGGCTGTTGCTGCAGTGTATGAGCAGCAGGGGGAGAACTGGCGTGCTGCAGGCTTCCGTCGTGCTGCTGCTGCTGTTGCTGCTGCATGCAGCAGCAGCAGCAGCAGCAGCAGCGGCAGCAGCAGCAGGAACATCAGGAGCATGGACTTGCGCCTACGGGCTGGAACAGCAGCATCTCCTGCAACAGCAGCAGGAGCAGCAGCAACAGCAGCAGGAGCAGCAGCAGCAACTCCTGCTGCTGCTACTGCTGCTGCTGCTGCTGCTGCTGCTGAGCTGCAGCAAGGCCTCACAAAGGAGAAGCTGCCGCTGCTGCGGTTTGTTGCGGGCATAGGGCGGTCCGTGCTGCAGACGATATATGAGATTGCTGCTCGAGGCAGCAGCAGCAGAACTTTGCTGCTGCAGCAGGACGCAGCAGCAGCAGCAGCACAGCAGCAGCAGCAGCAACTACAACTCATATTTGGGGTAGGGCCAAAGACAGCCAAAATGCTGCATGCACGCGGACACACACTCGACTCCCTGCGGCAGCAGCAGCAGCAACTGCAGCAGCTGCAGCAGCGCTTGCTGCAGCTGCAGCAGACCAAGCCAGCAGCAGCAGCAGCAGCAGATACCAGCGGCGCAGCAGCTTTCGCAGCAACCCCGAAACTAACTACAGGAACAGCAGCAACAGCAGCAGCAGCACCAGAAGAGGAAGCATCTGTTGCTGCTGCTGCAGCAGCAGCAGCAGCAGCAGCAGCAGCATTCCCCCTACGCGGAGCTCAAGCCGTGGGGCTGCGCTATGCGGGGGCCTTCGCCCTGAAGATAGTCAGAGAGGAGATTGCTGCTGTTGCTGCTTTCCTCACCCGTCTGCTGCTGCACAGCCCCTGCAGCAGCAGCAGCAGCAGCAGCAGCAGCAGCAGCAATAGGAGCAGTAGCAGCAGCAGCAGCAGCAGCAGCAGCAGCGCCGAAACAGCCTCTTGCCTCTGCTGCTCCTGCTGCGGGGCGTCGTGCAGCAGCTACTTTGACGACACCAGCAGCAGCAACAGCAACAGCAACAGCAACAGCAGCAGCAGCAGCAGCAGCAGCAGCAGCAGCAGCAGCAGGGTTTCGTTTCTGAGGGGTATAACAGAGGTGTTGTGCTGCGGCAGCTACAGGAGGGGCCGCAGCGAATGCGGCGACATCGATATTCTGCTTATACAGACAGACCACACACAACACACACAAACTATATTCAGGTGACCGAGGGTTTAGGGTTTAGGGTTTAGGGTTTAGGGTCGAGGGTTTAGGGTTTAGGGTTTAGGGTACAACACACACAAACTATATTCAGGTGACCGAGGGTTTAGGGTTTAGGGTCGAGGGTTTAGGGTTTAGGGTTTAGGGTCGAGGGTTTAGGGTTTAGGGTTTAGGGTCGAGGGTTTAGGTTTTGTGGTTTAGGGTTTAGGGTCGAGGGTTTAGGGTTTAGGGTTTAGGGTTAGTGTCTATGCTGTAGAAGAAATATGGGGCTTGCTTTGGTGTCTTTGTATACTGTGTGTTAGCCTGTTGCTGCTGCTGCTGCTTCTGCTGCTGCTTCTGCTGCTGTTGCTGCTGCTGCTGCTGCTGCTGCTGCTGCTGCTGCTTAGGGTGGTGGATTTGCTGCGTCAGCAGGGCCTCATACTGGAAGACCTGCAGTATAAAGTGATGCGAAAGGGGTCTTCTGCTGCTGCTGCTGCTGCTGCTGCTGCAGCAGCAGCTGCTGCTGTTGCTGCTGCTGCTGATGACGAAGACTCAAGAGACTCTGATGAGAGCGATGAAGAGCCACTGGCTCCACCCATGCCCCCTGCTGCTGCTGCTGCTGCTGCTGGTACTGATGCTGCTGCTGCTGCTGCTGCTGCTAGTACTGCTGCTGCTGCTGCTGCTGCTGCTCGTATCCCTCGCGTTGTCCCCCTCACGAAGAAGCTGAAGGGCAGATGCTCAGGGTACTTCGGCATCTGCTGCTGGCCCCCTTGGCCCCGCAGCAGCAGCAGCAGCAGCAGCAGCAGCAACAGCAGCAACAGCAGCAGCAGCAGCAGCAGCAGCAGAGGGATTGCTTACAAGTGCAGTGCTGCATCATCGGGTATTTCCTATTGCCCTGCAGCATTATCAGGTTGTGTATATTGTGCTGCAGCATGGGGGGGCCCCAGGGCCCCCCGCCGTATAGATATTAAACTGTACCCTCAGCAGATGAGGGCCCCCTCGCTACTATACTTTACGGGGTCCTCTCACTTCAATAGAAGTTGCCGCTGGGTTGCCAGGCGTCTAGGTTTCTCTCTAGACGATACTGGTCTCTATGTATTGGCTGGGGGCCCCTGGGGGGCCCCTCGGGGG